CGGTTCCATGTCAAGGCCAAGTTTAACTGCATCTTAATATCAGCGGACAGCAACTCAGCTGAAAATAGAAGCAAACAACAATCAAGTCAAACAACAGATTCTTTCAAAATAAAAATTTTGCCCTTAACGTGTAGATCACATCAATCTACTGATTTCTGAGTTGAGATCACTTGGCACTAAACCGGATAAATATTGTACTCAATATAAAGTACCAAGTTGTTGTTTTAATATCATATTTTTTGTACATGGTAGTGAATTATTTATAAAACATATTTATGGTTGAGAGTCAATCATTAGAATCAATCAAAGTTTTTCATTCTGATTGTCTCCATGAATTACATCTTCATAACAGTGTCTCAGGTTACTAAATATTCTGATAGAGGCGCCTAGAAATGTCTTACCTTGCAGCAATCCATGTAGAATAGCTCTGTCAATATCTTTGAAGTTAGCCTCTTGCATTTGGAATACTGTTATCTGTGGAGTGTCATGAACAAATTATATTGTGAGTTGTTTTCTGGAACAACAATTACTTCCAGTGAACTACAGTTGTGTTTCCAGTGATTTCACCAGTGAACTAAAATTGTGTTTCCAGTGATTTCACCAGTGAACTAAAATTGTGTTTTCAGTGATTTCACCAGTGAACTAAAATTGTGTTTTCAGTGATTTCACCAGTGAACTAAAATTGTGTTTCCAGTGATTTCACCAGTGAACTACAATCGTGTTTCCAGTGATTTCACCAGTGAACTGAAATTGTGTTTCCAGCGATTTCACCAGTGAACTAAAATTGTGTTTCCAGCGATTTCACCAGTGAACTAAAATTGTGTTTCCAGTGATTTCACCAGTGAACTAAAATTGTGTTTCCAGCGATTTCACCAGTGAACTAAAATTGTGTTTTTAGTGATTTCACCAGTGAACTACAATTGTGTTTTCAGTGATTTCACCAGTGAACTACAATTGTGTTTTTAGTGATTTTACCAGTAAACTACAATTGTTTTTTCCAGTGATTTCACCAGTGAACTAAATTGTTTTTTCAGTGATTTCACCAGTGAACTAAAATTGTTTTTCAGTGAT